AGAGAGAGAGAGAGAGAGAGAGAGAGAGAGAGAGAGAGAGAGAGAGAGAGATGAGGACACAGAACACAGACACACCAGACAAATTGATGTTGGATTTTTAGCCTCCATATTTCTGTCGTTTCAACCACCCAGCCTGGGATATTTTCTACAGTTCTATGGCAGCCTTAGTTAATCAGTGTAAACAGTAATTTGCATTACTGAAACAAAGTTAGAAACTGCAGTTTCAGGTCAGCTTTTTCAACGAAGTCTGTCAATCCGCCTGAATTCCAGGGTGAGGTCAGGTGACTTCCTGGTATGAAGGCCAGCTTCCTCTTGCCGCTCCAGCCCCTGGTCACTAAGAAGTTTACTTATAACTTCCCCTCCTGTGGCCGGGAACATGTACCAGAAAAACGAAACTCCAGAAAGCTAAGGTTGGCACTTTCACTTCCTCCTCGCCTTTTACCCCAGCTACTTTGAATAGTGGGGCACTCACAGGAGCGAAGAGCCCACGGCTTCAGGACCCTGCGCTCCCAGGTGCTTATAGGGTCAGCAGGCATGTTTGCACACGGCCATTGCCACTCGCACAAAATGCCAGGATGACTCCTTCTCAGGTCCTGGCTGGGACTCTGCTTCCAGCCATGGCCTTCCTCGCCTGCGTGAGACCTGAAAGCTGGGAGCCCTGCGTGGAGGTACGTGATCCGGCGAACTCATCTCCTGGGAGCTTTCCCTTGCTTCTGAAAACTCCTCCCTGCCCAGAACTTGCTGTGCTGCGCTCTGGTTAGTTTCTTTTACGAAAAGGAGAAAAATGAACTAGACTTGAGAGGCCACAGGGAACAAATAACTCATTGTTAACGGGGAATTAACAGGCAGCCAATGGTGTTTTGTCCTGTTAAGGACTTTTGAAGCTATTAGGGGCTTTAGGTTAATTAGACTGGCTTGAACTCACTGTTCTGTGACCTCATGGCTGTATGACTGTGAAGAACTTACTAAGCCTCTCTGGAACTGGTTTTTACACCTATAAAATACTTATAATAATATTTCACTAGTGAATTTTAGGAAGGCTGCTTCAGTATGATGCCTTTGTACTTGTGGTTTATATACCACACCTTTCAATCTCAGGTTAAAGGTGCTTTTCTTTAATTTTCAGTACTGGGGCTTGAACCCAGGGCCTTCCCTGAGCTACATCCTTAGCCCTTTAATTTTAGTTTGAGACAAGGTCTTGCTGGGTTGACCTTGAACTTTCAGTCTTCTTGCCTCAATTTCCCTGAGTTCTGGGATTGTAGGCATGCTGTACACCTCTTTTTGTTTCTTAAGAGAAAGCAATTTGGAAGTGAGTTTCAGACTTCTATATCTGGTCATATCATTCAGTCCAGAGGCTGAAAAAACTAAGAGCAGAAGAAAAAAGAAAAAGAGACAAAGAACCAGAGAAGGAAATAGAGAAAGAAAAAAATAAGAGAAAAGGGTGGAGCGAAGAGAATGATGTCAGCTAATACAGTTTTTTTCTTTCTTTGTGAAATACAAGTTGGTGAGTGATCTCACTCCCGATTAATCTCTTTCATTTTTCTCCTGCACAAACTCCATGACAGAACTGAATAGCCAAGAAGATGATGCAGGATGAGACAGGGCCAGAAACTCAAGGAAAGGAAAGTTGAGGACATGGGAGAAAACAGTGTAATTTAACATGTAACAGAGAAGACTAATTTGTTACTTCAAAGAGCTACCCTCTCCCAATTTCCGGCCCATAGTCCTTGTCTTCCTATGAGTGTCTCTCCTACCCATAGGTTAATAAGGGTAGAACCCCCAATCGGGGGATAAAATCCCAGGATCCTTGACTTAACTTTCTCCATGTACCGTATTCTGGCATTCCCAAAGCCTTCTCTCCCTGCCTATCCCCCAGGGCAGCCCTAGGGCAGGGCCTCTGGTCACCTGGCCTGGATTCCTGTCCAGTGACTGATCTGGTTTAACCCACCCTTTGTAGTCCCAGTCTGCACACTTCCCTTTGATGTCTATTTGTTGTTTTTCCAGATGCTTGGTTATGACAAATTACTCTCTTTAAAAGCTTTTAATAATTCTCTGTAGCTATTAAGGTAGTTTTCTACAATAGGGCCTTTGCACTATTTCCTCTACTCACAATCCATCTATCCTTGTTTCCTAAATCAGTCCTGTCCAAGGACAATATTATGTGAGCCACATATGTTTTTTAAAGTTTCTAGTACACATATTCAAAAAGTGAAAAGAAACAAGTACCTAATATACACAGTCGTGCCTTGGTTTATAAACTTAATTTGTTTTACAATTCTGGGGAAGATGGGATTGTTTGTGCTTGTGTGGGAAAAATGGCTGTGGTTGTGTTTGTCACCCAATACAGAGGTGGCAAATGAAAGCAAAAGTTTGCTGAATGCTTTTGCTGGTGAACCAAATTGTTTGCAAACAGAAGTGTTCATGAACTGAGGCATTAGTGTATATAAGTGTGTGTATACCATGTATGTATATAAACTATTAAGAAGATACCTTCTTTTTTATTATAAGTCTTTGAGATATAGTATTTATTTCACCTTTACCACACTTTTCTATTTATAATGTCCATGTTTCTTGTGCTCAGTAGATGTGTGAGGCTTATGGCTACCATACTGGAAAGTACAGTTCTGTCATCTTCATGACTGAACCACTCACTCCATTCAGACCTTGCTAATGTATCTCTTTTTCAGGGTCATCTTTCTCAGTTACCCTATAGAGTTCTCCACTATCCCATTTTTGCCTTGAATTCCCTTTGAGAGAATCTGAGTTAGTTTTCCATCCTTTCCTTGTTACTCATTTTTCTCTTATCTAATGTCTTCTTCCTTTTTCATAGATTCAAATCTAAAAACTTTCAAAACCCATTTTAGTAAGTCTTGTGTGAATCCAGAATTAATCTCTTCTTTCTCAGAGCCACAGGACATATTTTCCAAGCCTGATTTATGGATGCTTTAGATAGTGATCATTCTGCTTCTATATTAGCAATATAGACTGTGAACTCATTGAAGTTGGGAACCATATCAGGCATGTCTTTGTATTACAGCCCAGAGTGCTTAGCAGAAAATACATACCACTTGGCCTAAAGCAAACCTTTGTACAATCAGGTATGCAATGTTTTTCATTTATTTTCCAGACAAGTATTTATTGATAAATGACCATTTACCAGGGACCATTCCGAGTGCAGAGATGAAGCAGAAAGTAAAACCATCAAAGCTCACACTCTAGTACAGAAAATGAACAATATTTAAGAAACAATCACATAGGCAATGTGATGTTTTGGGTGTTATAACTGTGAAGAAAAACAAAAGATGGAGAAAGAAGAGTGCCTAGCAAGAGTCTCTATTATACAGTAGTGGCTTCAAGGCTCCTAGAATGGGTAACATTTAAGCATACATGGAAATGAAGTGAAGACCTGTGTGTATAAATTTTTATGAATATATGTATTACTTTATCTTTCTAAATTTCTATTTCCTTCATCTTTAAAAAGTTGCTTTTCAGATTAAGTTAAAGGATATAACATAAAGAAATATACCAACACAGAGTGAGGGATTAATAGTTATAATTAATGTTAAGATTTATCGATCAGTTACATTGCAGTAAACTTTGATATAAATTATTTAAATACCTTATCTCATTTAATTCTTTAAGGGGATTCTGTTGGATTTAAACAACAAAAAACTAAAGCTAGCTGGCTTAATCAAGGAATTTTGTTGGAAGCAATCAGAGAATTCTGACAACAGATAGGAAGATACAGAATAAGGATTACAAAGAGTGTGAGAAATTAGGAAAGAAACGAATACTGAAACCAACACAACATAGAGTGCTTGACCTTATTTATTAGTTTTCCACTGCTGGAATCCATACACTCCAAAGATGGCCCCTCATTTCTGCATCAATCTGCTCACAGTCAGTGTGCCAAGAAAGAGAATGTAATTGTCAAAAATCAGTCTTTGAACATCTTATGGCTGTACACAATGAGGAAGAGAATTAGAACAATACTATATATTTTATTATCTGTATTTTACTCATGATAAATAGGGTTCACCAAAGTTTCTTTAAGACTTTGCCCCCAAATTACACAGAAACTATAGTACAAAACCTAAGGCTTTCAGACTTCAGAACCCTTCACCACCTGTTTTCATTACTTCTTACTGAATGTTACCATTGTTACAGTCAGAGATTAGAACAGAGAGTGGGTAGAGGTGTTCTTTCTTTTCTATCTTGAGCAAGACATTGTGTAATATAGAGTGAATGGATGAGTGAATGGATGGAGGAAGATAGACTGAGTATTGTACATGTTCCAGAGGGGAATTACCACCCCCATCTCTGGCTTATGAGAGAGAGGTAGGAGCACACATAAGATGTGGTGTCTAATATGTGATCCTTGCAGGTGGTTCCCAACATTACATATGACTGCATGGAGCAAAATCTCTACAAAATCCCCAGCAGCATCCCCTCCTCAGCCAAGCACCTGGACCTGAGCTTTAATCCCCTGATGTTCTTAGGAAGCCAAAGCTTCACCAGTTTTCCAGAACTAGAGGTGCTGGATTTATCCAGGTAACTAATGAGGTTTTTGCATACTGTACAAAGTGAGATGTTCATAGTTCCATCATTTCATTCTTTGGCTTGAAAGCCTGTATGGTGGTGTCTCAATTTTATTCACTTAATCATTCAGTCAACAGCTGTCTTACTTGTTTTATAACCTTGAACAAATGACATTTATTGTCAGATTTCAGTTTCCTTGTCTGTGAAATAGGCAACTGAGTGAGATGATTTCTAAGAATAATTCTACCACTGGGCATTTTTTTAAGTCAGAAGAAACCAGAATTATGGAAAAAAATAAGTTTGTGAAGCAAGACACCACTGTGTTGATTTAAACACTTGCATTAGTTGATATTTCTGACCATTTGTTGTATGTTTCACATTCTGCTAGGAAACAAATGTCTATTGATATATTATATAGCTCTGTTGTTCAGGAGGATACATCCTCTTAAAAGAGCTAACATGTTAAAGTTCTGGCCATGTTGTAGACATTCAGCAGGTGTTATCAAATTCTGACATATTGGATCTTGAAGCTAGATAAAAATGGTGATTTATGACAATAGATAATAAACTGTATGACAGAGGAGGTAACAATGTGTGTCGTTCAGAAGACAGGCCTTCTCTATGGAGGGTGGGCAGGAAAGTTTTTGAGAACTGACTGGGATTCAGATAATGTCTTGAAATATTGAAAGTGAAGTAGAGGATAGGGAATGGGAAGATACAAGTAACCCAGAAAAATGATGCCAAAATCAAAAGAAAACATCAGCTCTGAAGCAGGGAACAGTGACTAAATTATTCTTTTCTCATGCAGAGAAGTATATCATTCATTAGAGCAGGTGAAATTATTATCATTTTTGGGGGGACTGAATCTAAATTAGTTTTATCATCAAGGACTTCATTATAAATTTGAAGGGGATAATAAGTCACATTTTTTATAATGTTCGGTGGAAAATACAGAAACATTTCATATATGACGTTTATTACATAAATTTTTGATAAACACTAAGGCTGTAGTCCTTAGGGAAAGTCCTCTTTAGAAGGCTTTTTGTAGAGAAGAAAGCGACTAATTAATGTTTCATACTCTAAGTGGGATATTGGTTGTCTTAGTTATTTTTCTCATTGCTGAGGCAAAATACCTGACACTCAAAGGAGGAAAGGTTTATTGCAGATCAAAGTTTGTAGAGGTTTCAGTTCATAATAGACTGACTCCAGGACAAGATGACATAGCAGAGGGCCATCAAAGAGGAGAAAAAGTTCATGGCAGGCAGAAGGCAGCAAAGCAGAAAAGTAGTGAAGAAGCAGCAGCAATCAGCAAGGCAGAAGCTTTTCCCTTTTATTCCTTCCAAGCTGCCTGCCTTTTGTGTGGAGCCACCCAGTCCCAGGGTAGGCCTTCCCATTATCCACACCCGGAACTATACTTAACCAGTCAGTGGACTAATTTAGTCTGCACCCTTAACCCCAGCACCAAATAATTCATCCCATCATGGAATAACTTAATCTTAGCATCACACACCCTAGAACCAGCCACCTCTGAAAAGCCCCACCTGTGAGTGTGTGAAGCTTTGGAGGGACATCTAGATATAAGCCATAACATTGGTAGAGGATAATGAAGTGAGAATGGAACATTTAAAAGCCAATAGCATAGAGCACAGAACCATTTGGGAGTCTAGAAACACCAGTCAAGACCTCCTCCAACATTTATACCCATGTGGCCCTGGGTCTGCCACTTCATCTCCCCAAGGCTCAGTTCTCATACCTGTTAAATGGAAGAGAGGAACTTATCCTGGATAGATCCATGTGATAATGAATATTAGTGTTCTGTGTATATATTAAACACTCTATGAAATATATTTCATAATCATGAAATATCATATCATTTCATTAGATTCTAAATTTTAGTTTTTCAAGACAGAATTTTGTCAAGATCTGTATTGAATTGGACTGAGACTAATCTCCTTTTTTTCTTGAAATGAGAAGTATTTTCTCATCAAACAATGTCTCCTAATTTATATTTCATCTACCAAATGCTCAAGGAACTTTTCTTAGAGGCCTTAAATGTGTGCTTAGAAAGAGGTTACTTTCCCCTCTGATTCTCACACAGGAGATTCTGAATTAGGGCAAGGACAGGCCAGACCACAGCCCACATCCTTTGCCTTTTCATACAGTGCCCATGTTCTCAGATAGTCCTCTAGCAAGGCTTTGTGATAGACCAGGAATAATTTCCCATATATCCTTTTTATAGATGAGGAGCCTGAGGCTGGGAGAGTTTGAATTACTTATGCACATTCACATCTCCTGTTTTAGCAGACCAGAGACTCAAGTTTATAACTTTCGCTTTCAAGTGTAATGGTCTCCTTCTCTTAACACTCTGCTTTCTAAAGTGATGAACTGTCTGCAATGAGATAGCAACACAGCAAGACTCTCCCAGTCCTGCCTCATGCATAGAGCGATAGACATATAAGATTATGGGCTATGGAATTATGTATTTAAAATAAGGAACTCTAGAAATTATCACGTTCAGTGCCTCATTCAGCTGCCTTTGAACTCAGAGTGAAAAAGAGGGTCCAAAGATCAGACAGTCAGAGAGAACAGCAGGGGCACCAAAGCTCAGCTGTCTTGTCCATTCTTCCAGTGTTCCTTGTACCACACTCAGCACTCTTTACCCAGTTACCAGCAAATAACAAAAGCTTGGGATGAAATGCTTTCATCACCCAGGAACATCCTGAAGGGTACAGGAAGGCTGGGAAGCACTATATGGGGTTAGACAAGGAAAGGATCTGTTTGTGAGTGGTAACTGACATACATCTCTAACACGAACAGCAATTTGTCTTAAACTTGCTGTCTGCAATTGGCTGCATAAGATCCCAGCCTTTGGGATGTCTCTGTGAACATTGTATGTCACGTGGCTTTCATTTCTCTTGGGCTACAATCGAAATCCTTTATCTGTTTGTAATCTCCTGCCTTCTCTGGATCTTCCTTCTTCACCACCCCTCTTACACTCTTCCAGTTCCCTCTCTGCATTCCAGCCACAGTGGCTGTGGTTCCTCCATGCATCACGGTTGCTTGGAGTTTGGGGATGTGCTGTTCATTTCACCTTTATTCCTACTGATGCTTACTTATGACAAATTGCAACTTAAATATTCCCTAGTCTGGTCAGTTCCATTGATGCAAAATGTCCCAGCACACTTCTTTTTTCTTTCACAAAATTCATTCTTATCACAGTCATTAACAATCACCTATGATAACAACTTTCAAATATCTAACTCGCATGTATGCAGAGCTTTGCACAAAATCAAGGGTATCCATGACACTGATGTGTAATTATTTATACTTATGTTTCTATATCTTTTAAATATGAAATATCTTCCAATTTGTTCATCTTTTAAATCAACATTTTCCAGTCATTCACATGGATAACAAGTAACAACTACCCATAGCTTCTGTACCAATCAAAATTAAATGTGGCAGGAAATGACTAAACTTGGTCTAAGGCTCTTATACACTCTATCAACCATGCAATCTTCACATCCCCTAAATATTGACCTTTAATTGATTTTCTTCTGAAGGATTTGCTGTGTCTGCTTGGCATGTGTGATTAGATTGACAAAAATAATTTATCAATGAAGTCAATGTGATAATATTGAATCAGTGGAGCTGCTTGTTTGTCCACATAGTCATCATTGGTCTTGCTTGTCTTTGTCCATGTACAATTATATGAGATACTACATTTATATGAAAAACTGGATGACTGGGATTGTGATTCTACTTTGAATTTTTATTTGCTGGAAATGTTACATGCTCTGTATCTTTTTCCCCTGTAGATGTGAAATTCAAAAGATTGAAGATGATGCATACTGGGGCTTACACTACCTCTCTACCTTGATATTGACAGGAAACCCTATCAAGAATTTAGCACCAGGAGCCTTTTCTGGACTACTCAGTTTACAGAAGTTGGTGGCCGTGGAGATAAATCTGTCCTCTCTAGAGAACTTCCCAATTGGACATCTCAAAACCTTGAAGGAGCTTAATGTTGCTCACAATCTTGTCCGTTCCTTCAAGTTACCTGAATATTTTTCTCACCTGAACAACTTGGAGTACTTGGACCTTTCCAATAACAAGATTCAAAATATTTATCATAAAGACCTGCATGTTCTATATAACAACTCCAAACTCTCTTTAGACTTGTCTCTAAACCCAATTGATTTTATCCAACCTGGTGCCTTTGACAAAATGAGGCTTCAAGGACTGACTTTGAGAAGTAATTTTGATAATACAAGTGTAATGAAAACTTGTATTCAAGGTCTGGCCGGTTTAGAAGTCAATCAGTTGGTTCTGGGAGAATTTAAAAATGAAAGGTATGTGGAAGAGTTTGACAAATCTGCCCTGCAAGGACTGTGTACCTTGACCATTGAAGAATTCAGGTTGTCATATTTAGATGACTTTCCAAAAAATATTAATGGCCTCTTTAATTGTTTGGTAAATGTTTCTGCAGTGTCTCTGGCACATGTGTATTCAAGGAGACTAGAAGGCCTGCCTAAAGATTTAAAATGGCAATCTTTAGAGTTGGTGAAGTGTAAAGTTAATCAATTTCCTGCATTTTCAATCCCCTCTCTCAAAAGGTATAGTTTCACAGCCAACAGAGGTGTGAACAGTTTTACAGACCTTACACTGAAAAACCTTGAATTTCTAGATCTCAGTGGAAATGGCATGAGTTTCAAGGGTTGTTGTTCTGTGAAAGATTTGGAAACACCTAATCTGAAGTATTTAAATCTAAGCTTCAATGATGTTATAAGCATGAGCTCAAACTTCATGGGTTTGGAACTACTGGAGCGTCTGGAGTTTCAGCATTCTACTTTGAAACAGACCAGTCAATTTTCAATGTTCTTATCACTCAGCAGACTCCTTTATCTTGACATTTCCTATACTCACACCCATGTTGCCTTCCATGGCATCTTCAGTGGCTTGTTCAGTCTCCAAGTCTTAAAAATGCCTGGCAATTCTTTCAAGGACAACACCCTTTCCAATATCTTCATGGAGGTCACTAACTTGACCCTTTTGGACATTTCAGAGTGTCAACTGGAACATGTGTCCCAGGGAGTATTTGACAAACTTCTCAGGCTTCGGGTCCTAAATATGAGTAATAACCACTTCTTATTACTGGATGCACTTTCTTTTAAACCTCTCCATACCCTCCAGAATCTGGATTGCAGTTCCAATAGAATAGCATCTTCCAATGGGCAAGATCTGCAGCATTTCCCAAGCAATCTAACTACCTTAAACCTTACTCAGAATCCTTTTGATTGTTCTTGTGAGCACCAGAGTTTCCTGCAATGGATTAAGGACCAAAGGCACCTCTTGGTGGAAGCTGAACGATTGGAGTGTGCCATGCCTCCAGATATGCAGGGTAAGATGCTGCTGAGTTTTAGGAATGCCACCTGTCAAATACCCAAGGTTATCATCATTGTGACAGTGGTCAGTGTCCTTGTGGTGTCTGTTATAGCATGTTTGGTCTACAAATTCTATTTTCACCTCATGCTTCTTGCTGGCTGCAAAAAGTATGGTCAAGGCGAAAACACCTATGATGCCTTTGTCATCTACTCAAGCCAAGATGAGGACTGGGTGAGGAATGAGTTGGTAAAGAACTTGGAAGAAGGTGTGCCACCCTTTAAGCTCTGCCTGCACTACAGAGACTTTATTCCTGGTGTGGCCATCGCTGCCAACATCATCCAGGAAGGTTTCCACAAAAGCAGGAAGGTAATTGTGGTGGTGTCTCAGCACTTTATTGAGAGCCGCTGGTGTATCTTTGAATATGAGATTGCTCAGACCTGGCAGTTTCTCAGCAGCCGAGCTGGCATCATTTTCATTGTCCTGCAAAAGTTGGAGAAGTCCCTGCTCCGGCAGCAGGTGGAGCTGTATCGCCTTCTCAGCAGGAACACTTACCTGGAGTGGGAAGACCATGGCCTCGGGCGGCACATCTTCTGGAGACGACTCAGGAAAGCCCTGATGGATGGAAAATCATGGAATCCAGAAGGAACAGCAGATGCAGAAAACAGCCAGAAAGAAGCAGCCACTTTGACCTGAGGAGGAAAAAAGCTCCAGAGACACTTCTTGCCCAGCTAGAGACAATATTTGCTCCATAGCATGACAGGGATCATGCTATGGGCAAGTGATTTGAGGACGAGCAAGATACACATGACTGCTAATTTCATGAAGCTTACAGCGTGGGGTGGCATAAATGCTGTGCTAAAATTCAGAACCTTCCAAGTGTGTTTCAACCAACTAAGCTCGAGTGTCATGACTATGGAAGCCTCCAACTCTTTCGCCATCAAATTGAACAAGAGGCTGGGTGCCAGAGAGTGCAGGAAAGAGCATTATTTTTTTCTGGAGCCATACGAATGGGATCCCTGTCACGTATTATGTGTTTTTTGCTATCTTAAAAGAGTTTGGGGATGTTTCAACTGAACTGGATGTTGATTTATTCCTTTTATGTTGAATATAATGGAAACTCTGGATGATTCAAATGGCTCCTATTTCAGGATTCCCATTCCATTTCATGTCCATTTCCTTGGTATTGTAACTAATTACTAAGAAAACCTGACAAACACATGCTCAAAAATATCCTGATCATTTCTTAGTACAGTCTCATTATTAAATAATTCCTAATAATTTTATTTTTATAAATCCAGTTCTCATTTCTCATGTCCTGCCCATAAACTCACATCACAAATAAGGCAGTTAGAGATATGCTGGATATATTCATATTTAATGACAATTTTTCAAGCAAGTATGTAAAATACACTCTATCACTTTGTCACTTGATGTCATTCTTAAGTTATTACCTACTAAGTTATGGCTGTCATAAAGACAGCATTAAAATAATTTGGTTGAAAAGGGCATTTTTTAATAGGAGGAGAAAAGTCCAACTTGCTGTTCTCATGAAGAACAGTGATTTTTAGGTGTGGGAAGGCAAGTGTGATACCTTGTAAGACCACTTCTCCTTGCTGATTCCGGAAACATTTGGGTTAGTATCGCCAGAGTGACTCCATGAAATAAGTTGCAGCAGAGGTTTCCTCTCAGAATGAGTGTTGTTAGGTGGAAAATTGGGTCCTTTCAGGGAGCTGTAGAGGGCTGGAATTCCTCCCTTTCACCCTCTCCATCATTGTGAAATGATTCAAGATAGGGTCTATACACTGCTGCTTCCTGTTGGGTACACTACTGCTTCCTGTTGGGTATCACTTCCTGACCTCTTTTTTGAAAGAGTAGATGTAGCCATTGAGAAAACTGTGTGCCCAGCATTAATGGGCTCATGGTAAGGGGAGTTCCCAGTAGAGTAGTTCACTCCATTTCTTTAGAAATAGTACCAAAAAAAAAAAAGAGTAATGAGGACATCATTAGAGAAATCCAAATCCAAACCATAACAGATATCACTGTATACCAGTTAGAATCGGCATTATCTAATTAATATTTATTAAGCAAATTATATTAATATACTTTATACATATATGCAAAACATATTGCATATGTATTTTATATATAAAATATAATTCATATGGGTGTGTTGTACAGGATAAGGAAGAAGTTCTGGAGTTCTTCAACACTATAAGTGGGAGTATAAAATGGTGCTGCCATTGTAGGAAACAGTGTGACAATTCCTCAGAAAAATAAAAATAGAACTGTCATGTGATCCAGCCATCCCGTTTCTAGATGTACACCTAAAGAGTTGAAATCACAATCTCAAAAAGATATCTGCTCTCCCATGTTATTTGCAGTTAATATTCACAATAGCCAAATTATGAAAACAACCTTAATGTCTATTGATCAATAAATGTTTAAAGTGTCCCATATTACAGATAGATAGATAGATAGATAGATAGATAGATAGATAGTGGAATATTATTCTGCCTTTAAAAAGAAGAGAACCTTGGTATTTGCAACAGCATAAATAAACCCAGAGGCCTTTATATGAGTTAGTCCTAAAGATCTCCTGTGTAGCATACTGCCTTTAATGAACCATAATGTTTTACACACTTGAAAATTTGTTAAAACTGTAGGTCTCGTGTTGAATGTTCTTACCACTCACACATACACAAATGCTTTTTAAAAATAGATACAGGAGACTTTTGTAGATAATGAGTATATTTTATTACCTTGGTTGTGGTGATGGTTACTCAAATACATGTTTATGTTCAAACTCATCAAATTGTATGCATTAAGTATGTGCAGCTTTTGTATAACCAGTTTCCATCATTGAAGTTGTAAAAAGGAAAAGAGATGAAAATCTAGTTGGGAAAACTGGAAATCTGACTACACTCATGAGTGTGTTTGTGACTGAGTTTTTCAGAGTGTGTTTGGTTTGAGTGTATTTAGGGTGGCTGAATATATTTGTTTTTCTCATATATAGTGAAACCAAATGTGTGCGTTTGTGTATATGCCTGTGTGTTCCTGTTAGTGCTTGTGTGTATGTATGTAAGAATGCATGTGTCTGTGTGATCAAATTTGCACAGGAAATAGTGTGATTATATTCTGTGGGGCATGTGTGCTTTGATGTGGTGAAATACGGCTATTTGAGATAGATTCTCTATGCTTGTACTTATACACCATTGTCCAGGACTGTCTGTTAGTTTCTGAGTAGTCTTGAAAGTGTGTGGTTTTGTATATGACTCTGCCATATGTGACTATGCTTTTGTTCACATTTGAACAAGAATTCTGTACCTGTGTTTTTGTGGGGGTTTTTTGAAGTAAATATGTAAGGTTCATGGAGGAAGATAAAAGTACAACTGGATTGTTTCTTTTAGCAAGGCTGACACTGACCTTCTTCTCATCAGCCCCCTCTCCCAGGTGGAAAGTCTGCAAAGTGCAGATGAGGTAAAAATGGAAAGAAAGAAATGTTATGCGCAGAAGTAGAAGGAAGACCATAACAGAATTCAGGAGTAGGATGGATTCTTTCTAGCCACGTGAGCACTCTGGAAGAAAGAGAAGTAAATGGAAAAATAGAGAGAAATTAATACTAATTAGAATGTCTTACATTTGTGTAATATCCTGCAGCTTGGAATATATTCACAGAATTATAATAGCTTATTAGCCAAAAGAGCTATCAAATCAAGAATTAATGTCTCCATTTTACTGATGCAAAAACTGAAGTGCAATGAAGTAAGTACATTGTCAACTGGCCACAGTGTAACCAAGTGGCAAGTTCTGAGCCTGGGTCTTCTGCCCACTCAAGGAAACTCTTTCTATCCCACCTCATTGCTTCATGTTTCTTGATGGCAAAACATGAAGTGAAACTTGCATAATTCTCTGTGTGGCTGACACCAGTCAAGGGTTTTTTAACTGAAACCATGAATCATTAAGAAAATGCATATGCATGTATATGTTATATAGGGAATGATTTACTTGTTCCACATCTCTTCACATAAAAGACTTGAGGGAACTTCAAAGTGGATACAAACAATAAGGATAACCAGTTAGAAGAGGAAAATATGGACAGAGAACAAAAAGAGGAAAGAAGGGCACTGAGAATATGTTTCAGTATAGTGTTTTCCTGTTCTAACTCCAGAGGGACCCCTCCGGTGTTAGGGAGGCTGTGGCTTTTGGAGAAAGCCATGCCTCAGATTCATGAAGTACCAACTATGTGGCTTGGGCTTCACTTCTCTGAGAACCCAATAAACTCAAATGTAAAACAAAGGTAGAAATATTACTTTGTAAGAACGTTGAAACATAATTTATATTCAACACAAAGGAAATATCCCTCTGGGACTTTAAAATGGGGGCATACGGAGAAGCATTGAGTGGTCTTCTTGTAACAGCATTTCAGTAACTGCTATTGTTTCAGGTTGTGGGACCACTAGAATTACTGGGATCTAATCATGAGTTGTCAGACCTCAGCCTCCTTTTGGACTTCATAGTGTTTCTAGGAGACTCAAAAACAATTTCCTGGAGACTCATATGGGAACACATAAGAGTCCTCATGAAACTTCTCGGGTGCCCTGTGAGAGCTGACAACATGTTTGTGTAGCCTTTGGTTCTGCAGCATGGAGTGCCATGCCTGACACACAGCATAGAGACAGCACCTGTTCATTTGAAGCAAAGATGAATAAGCACCGTCTCTGGAGAAGTTTTGTCCTCTGTGTCTTCCAGTTAGGACTCCCACACCTTAAACCACACTTTGTTGCAGTCTATGCATATCCTCAGGGTTCTAAACTTCCACAGTTCTCCCCATCTCTGTTACCTGCATATGTGCCCCGAACCACTTCCTCCCCTGGTTTCTTGATTCCAAGTATCCCAAAAGTTACTTTGTAGGAAGGGAGAGGACTCCTCTTACAACAATTACCCCAAATGAGCATTTTGAGGTTGTATTCTACTACTTTATGTATGATATTTGATTTAAATTCTCATGTCATAACTATTTAGTGGATACTAGTAATATCAGCATTGTTACATATTAAGAAACTGAATCTCCAAGATATATTCATCTAAACCCACACAGGTATTAAATGGCAGATGTTGGATTTAAATATAGTCTCTCTGATACTAAGAGTCAACTAACTATGCTGCACAGTTTCTCCAATGTCTTATTTTCTCTATATATTTCATTGCTGCTACTCTTTATTTTTATTTTCTATTTGCTATGGTGTAGCTCAAAAGCATGACCTAGATATGAAGGTTAAACCAAAGGATGGGCATTAGGCTCTTGGACTGGCTGTGTCAGAGAGTAGGTAGTACTTGAAATCAAACATTTCTCCTAATAATGATGGACCACGCCCCAATAATTGTAGCCTTCTTTTCTGATGGATATTTTTAACCATAAAGCTTATGTGACACTTATGTGAATGGACTCATTTTCAGTCCATCAAAACGGTCTTCCTGATAGGCCCAGCAGTTTCTTTGATGATAACAATTTCCCAGCATTCATCACTCAAATATTTCTTTTACCACACGGTTCTAAATAAAGGTGCTGTTCCAAAGCTTTTATTAAATTACAGGGATGCGTCATTGGAAACCAACTCAAAGCAGAGATTAAGCTGGCATAGTCTGAAAATATTGACTTTAACAATGCACCTTGATACAGGATTTAAGTTAGATTGTCTGAAGCAGGTTTGAGCTCCCTACTAGCACTATTATTATCTCTCCTTTTAGTTACTAAATTAGAGCATTCAAGTAACTGAATGTTTGAGACTTAGAATTTCAGCCTAGTACTCAGAATGCTAATTATCTATTTTGCTAACTGAAGAATGCAATGCTGTGAAAATCAAGAGTAGTTGAAAAGTTTGACTTTTATATTCCTACTATGGACTATTCTAGTTGTTAATAAATATAGGGAGTGCAAATTTTTTAAAAAAGATGGTAGAAACTTTGTTTATCTGGCTTTAAGCTGCAAAAGCTGTCTAACATTAGTCTAGCAAATGTGTAGAGTGGATTTCAGTCTGAATTCTAGCTTTGCCACATATTCACAGTATAATTTTGGACAAGTTTCTTAATCTAATTTTAGTTTGCTCACCTAAATAATGAGGGTCGTTCTCTCCTGTACAACAGGGCTACTATGAAGATAAAAGAGGGAATGAAGCAGAGACATAGCACAGTTCTAAGTTTACCTGCCTAAAGGAACTGTTGTAAGAATAAGAGCTCAAGCCTGGTATGCAGCTGATTGTAGTGACATGGAAACTTGGAGATCTCCAGGTAGGAGGAGTTCTCACATCCACAGTCAAAATCAGCAACTCAGCTGTCAGGCAGGGACAAAGCGAAGACAAGGTAGGGTCTCAGCTCCGAAAGACCCACTGGACAAGATGCTGCTATCAGAATTTACAAAGGACATAATCCACACACTGTTCATTTGTAATTTTTTATTTGTAATGAAAGAGAATTCTGGTGCAATAGAACTTCTTCAAATGCAAGAATCAAAGGTAGTTTAATTTCTCCATTTATTTATTGTTCAAAGACAGGATATTCTAATGCCATGAGGTTCTGCTACCAATGCATGAAATTGGAGTAATAATACCTTCTGGACAGACCATAGTTGGCTACAGTGCTGATAACAAGAGTTACATTTAATTGATCAGTGACTTTGTGAAAGGACTCTTCTTTTGTTCTAACTCTTATGTTGTTACCTTAGTGAATCAGTAAGATATTAAATTCTTTACAATTCTCAAATGAGAAGACTGAAGTGCAGTGTCTACTATACAACATTTTATGATGTGACCAATGTCACCTGATAATACATGAGATTAGGGCATCAGTCCACTCCACTTCAGGGCCAGGATTTATAAACATTGTACAATGAAAAGAGTATTCAACTCCCACAACAGTGCATGAAATCTTCTATCAAATGCATCATAATTTTGGCTGATACTAACCAAAAAGAGTTACTACAATTGATACTTATTTTATTAGCATTACAAGCTGTAAGAACCTGGGGGAAAGTAAGCAAAGATGCATGTCATTAAAAATCTTTAAAAATGAGAAGATCACACTCACTTGATGATGGTCTTTCTTTAAACAACATGCTTAGCTTGTTCTATCATGTCTCTGGCTGGGCTCACTTCCTGATGGGCCTCCCAGACTTATGATTACACACAGAGGTTGTAGGGAAAGTTGCAAAAGCTGAGGACTTTCTAGAGTTTGCAATAGGATCACACATTCTGGATGCCATTGTGGAGGTGATTGAACTCCTCAGCTCAAAGTGAAATCTGTGCAGTAAGTGGTTGATCAAAAGGATGAAATACATTGAATGCCATCTGTGCTCCTCCAATTGCTGCTGTTCCCCTGTGGATGAGGGGCTCACTCTTCATTTCATCAATGAGGAGGCCCAGAGAAGATGACAACTTGTCCTAGGTCACACAGCTCACAATGTCATAATCACAATAATAACCAGCGTTTGCTAATCTATTAGTCCATGCCTGGGACTGTTCTAATTTGTGTATTAATTCCTGTAACTGCTCAAATGACCCAGTGTGGCAGGTACTGGTAGTTTTGCTATTCCACAGATGAAGAAATTAAGAGGCAAGAAATGAATTGTCCAATTGGAACAGACTCCAAGTCGGTCTGAGTCTTGGGACTACATTCTTTCCACCGCATAATAGTGGAAATAGTGGTAGTCTGGGCTATTCTGCCAGGACTGGTCAGAAGAGTGACAGGAGAATAATTTGGACAAGGTCAGTAACTCCCATACCATTTAGAAATTGAAAGTTTAAAAGACAGA